GGTTTCTCCGTGGCATCCCAATAATTACTCCATTCACACACAGAAGAAGGCAATGGCAACCCACTTCTGGATCATCTGCCAAGAACGTATATGAACAGGTCCCAGTCCGAGAAAAGGATGGAAGGATCCTGTTCATATGGACCTGTCGTCAGACAGAACACTAAATAAATAAAAATAAATACATTACATTACTTTACATTATATTCAGCTACCACAGACCCATCTTAAGCGTAACTAATTCAAGTTGATTAAGCAATGTGTTAATCAAACTTATCTCAATTGTAAAGCATGTATAAAGGAAATGTTTAGAATAAAGCCAATATATAAACTTCCTTTCCGTATAGACGTATTTACGTCAAATTCTCCGGAACCGTGGTTCCACTGACAACTTCAAATTATTCAACTGTGGCAGTAATGATTCAATACTTTGCAAAATTTTCAAGAAAAAGTAAATCGCAACCGGCAGGGCTCGAACCTACGCTCCCAGAGGGAATTTAATTTCTAATTAGACGCCTTAACCACTCGGCCACGGTTGTTCGTAACGAGACTCTCAGCGGTTTTCAAATTTGACGATAATGATTACGATGCGAAGTTTAAAATGTCTATGGAAGTTATCTTTTAAAGTAATGTACGTTCGTCGCACGAAATGAGTAAAATTAACGTTTGGCTTGGAGATTTTGTGTGTCTCTGCTCGGTCGACAGTATCTCTGATCTCAGAAAGTTTGTGTACTCGATGAATTTCGACGAAGTTGTCGTATGGATTGAATTTGGAAGGTTTCTGTCAGTACGTTATAACCTCTATTTCACATGAAGCCTAAGATGGACTTCATTAAAATTTTAAATACCGAAAAATTTGTCAAAACTACACCTTAGCCCACAAAACACGTCAATATACAGAGAAATATTTCACGAAATATGTAATTGATTATTATATATCACATAATTATACAATATAACACAAACTTATTTTCAGAAACATCATTAAAACTACAGAATGTAAGACTTGAGGTTCTCACAGCGGTGAGTATGAAGATTTCTGTCTTCTGGGTTGTTGCGCTGTGTAGTCTGGTCGATGTTAACCAACGTTTCAGAGGTCATACTGCCTCCATCATCAGAGTATGAAGATTTCTGTCTTCTGGGTTGTTGCGCTGTGTAGTCTGGTCGATGTTAACCAACGTTTCAGAGGTCATACTGCCTC